CTTTGTTTCCGCCCCCCGGGCCATCCAGCACCGGAGAGGCACGCGCTGCGCAGGGGCGTAAGCCCCTGGCCGCGGGCCCCTGGGGCCCCCCGGAGGGGGGGCCAGGCCGTTCCAGGCACGCGGCTGCGCAGGGGCAGAAGCCCCCGGCCGCGCACCCCCCCCAGGGGGGGCCAGGCCGTTCCCGGGGCGCGGCTGCGCAGGGGTGGAAGCCTGCCCATCCCTCTTGTACATCCTCCCTGTCTCCCTCCAATCTAAAGGTGGTCATAGGAATTTTGATTTATTTATATATTTACAAACCCTGGCCTAAGTTTTTAAAACTAGAAGAGCAATTCTTTTACTTTTATGCAAAGTAGAAGTTATATTATTAAGCAGGATTTTAAAATCTCAACTGATTTTCCATCACTAACAGAAATCCTAAATGGGGAAAAAAGGAGAGAAAAAAGAAGTTCTTCATCCCAGCCTACTTAAACTACAAATTATAATCCTGCTACTCTCAAGCCAAAACTATTTTAGTCAGAAGAGGCCTCTTACAAACTCCTAGAACTGGTACACTCAATTCCACCTGTGCCTTCGTACCTGCTGCTCTCCTAGCTAAAATATCTCAAGGCAAGGAAAAGCACAAAGTGAGACAAATCATGGCCAGTTTTCCTAATGCACAGGTAAATTCTTTTAGTTCTTAAAATAGTTTATCTATGTTTGAGCAACATCCCCATCTTGTGGACATCTAGAATATTATTAATGCCACTTCAGCGCTGCTGCACCTTTTTTCCTCTCTCTCTCTCTCTCTTTTTTTTTTTTTTTAAGGTTTTTGTCATAGGACACATGTGCTTGCCAGAGAAGAGACACAGAGGGAAAGTGAAAAATCACTTATATACCTAGGGGGATGGGCATGCCACAATCTCTTCTCTTTCTCCTCTCTGGATTTTGGCATTGCCACAGGTGCACCTGTGGTTTTCTTTTTTCTTTCTTTTTTTTTTTTAAAGAATGATTTTATTTTACTTTATTTCTTTATTTTAATTTAACCAGAGAGGGAGAGAAGAGGAGATAGAGAAAGAGAAAGTTAGAAAGCAAGCTGCCAGTTTGGGACTCAAATCAGGGTTGGCCATGTAGGAGTCCAGCACCCTTAACCACCATACCACCTGCCGGCCCCAATCTGGAGTGATTTTCAAGCCACTGGGTCCAGGACTCAAACCTCAGTTGGTCATGTGGGAGTGTAGCACCTTAACTACCATGCCACCTGCTGGTCCCTCTGTTGCACGTTTCTTTTCTTTTCTTTTTTTAACATAATTAGGTTATTAACCCTAGCAAAGGCACAAATAGAATGCAGATACAGTGGCCAGCAGGTGGCATGATGGTTAAGGCACTGGACTCCTACATGGATAATGATGGTTCAAGTCCCAGACCTGGTGGCATACTTTTATCCTTTCTCTCTCTTTCTGTCTCTCTCTCTGGTGGGCATGCATGCTCTGCAGCAAATTAAAATGATGATGATGATGATGATGATGATGATGAATAAAATTAAATAAATAATTCTGAAAAAAAAAAAAAGAACGTAGATACATGTAATAAATACTGTATCCTTAACCAGTCAGAAAGCACGTGATTCTAGAAATCTCAGAAAGCATTATAATCTTTTTTTTTCAAAGTAGTATAATCTTAAATAACCTGAATTTTAAAGTATTTTTTTCTATAACTAATATAAATTTGTCTATAACTTCTGTATTTGAGTACCCTTAAATTCTAGGTAGAAGTTTAATAATACGAGTTATACTAGCTTTGGTAGGAAGCAATGGAAAGAAATAGGCAAAATGAGACGACGGCTTTGAAGAGATTCATGAGTTTTAAGACTTTGTTAAAAGCTCTTACCCATCTATTAACAATGTACATTTTTGAAAAAATGATTATTTGCGAAGCCTCAGCTTCTCCCTTTTCCATTACCTTTTTTGAGCTGTACACAATGTTGCACAATATGCATTTTCTTTCTCGTACCATAGTGACCAAATCCGAAGCACTCAACGTCACACCTGCAATGAGGAAGGAACATTTAGTGACATCTTTCCCCAGATATCGCCTTAAATACATCTGAACAAAACCAAAATTACAAGTCTTGTATTTTCTTCTCCTCTACCTTGCTACTCCCCCAGTTTGCCCATCTCAATATATAACAATTCCAACTTTCCAAAACTTTGAAAGTCATCCTTAACTGCACTTTCTCACCCCTTATGCATCCTCATCAGCAAATCTTCTCAGTTCCACTTTGAAATATACCCAAAGTCCAACCACTTCTTGCATCTAGCACACCATCTTTTACATGGCATTAGCCTACTGACTTGACTCTGCCTCCATTTTTGTGGAGCAGACTCTGACGGTCTTTCCAAAGTAATAGTCAAAGATTGACAGGATAAGATTTTTAATTTCATTAATTTTTGAAAGAATTACTTACCTAATTTTATTATCATTTTTTTAAAATTTTGCTATAGGACAAGTGTGCTCACCAGAGAGAGACAGACAGACAGAGAGAGAGAGAGAGAAAGAGAGAGAGAGAAAGTGAGGAAGCAAGCAGCTGCTAAGTCTGGGACTCGAACCTTCATCAGTCATGTGGGAGTCCAGCACCTCAAACCACATTACATGCTAGACCAGGAAAGGATTGTTTTAAATTTTAAGTTAGATCACACAGTTCCTCAGCTTAGAATCTTTCAATAGCTTCACATCTCACTCACAGGAAATCGAATATCCTTGCCATGGCTACAAAGTCTGTTTCTCAGGTCCAGCAGGTGGCATGGTGGTTACAGGTACTGGACTCCCTCATGGCCGACCGCTGTTCAAGTCCTGAACCTGGTGGTTTGTTTTCTCACTTTCTCTCTTTCTGTTCCTCTCTGGTCAAGTAAAATAAATAAATAAACAAATAAAGTTAAATAATTATTTAAAACAAATCTGTTTCTCATCTCTCTTTGGACTTCATGCCCTACCACCCTCCCTCTACCATTCTGTTCCACGCACACTGGCCTCCTTGCTATTCCTTGATCACATCAGGGATTCTTCAGCCTTAAGGCTTCTATATTTTCTGTCCTCTCTCCCTGGACTTTTCTACTTCAGGTAGCCATATGGTTCCCATAGCTCACTCTCAATTCCATCAGGTATCTAGAATGTTGCTTCATCAAAGAGAAGCCTCAGGAACCAGCAGTTAGTGGAATGGCTATGTCACTGGACTCCCACGTAGTCGACCGCGGTTCGCGTC